CTTGTCCTGTCATCTGCCCCCATGGAGAACAGTCCTGCTTGGTGCCACCCCCAGCCGGGATGCCCTGGCACTAGCCAGCTGCGGAGCAGCAAGCCCCTTACTGCCCCTCTGCCGGGTGCCGTCCTTGGGCCGCGTTCTCGGCGTGACAAGCCATGGGCGCTGCCGTGACACACTGCCGTCTGCCTGGCAGATGGCAGCGCAGGCCAGGCGTGTGCGTGCCAGCTCCCCGAGGCTGCCAGGTGCCCGCTGGCTGTTCCCATGAGCCCACGCCACATCCCAGCCAAGCCGCTCCCGCATGGTGCCGTCACCAGCCAGGTGCCACACGGTCTCGCGGACGGGTTCAGGGAGCCTGGGTCCTCTCCGCCACCTCGCTCACGCTGGGAGCAGCTCAGTGTAGCACCCCGTCTGCCCCGGGGTTCGGGCAGTGCCCAGCGTGATGGGGGCCTGGCAGTGCCACTGCAGCGGGGGGCAACGTGGAGGAGGATGCACTTGCCGAGACCTCCTGCCCTGCAGCACAGGCGGCCCAGCCAGCTGTGGGGCAGGGGAGTGTCTTTCACACACGCACACACACACCCACACCCACACACCATCAGTGGGACTGACACACACGCACCCCACAGTCCCTGGGAGATGCACACACTAACACCCCCATGCAGCACTGTCAGTGGGAACATACACACGCCACTGTCCCTGAGAGCCACCACCACACACACACCCACCCACCACCAGTGGGGGTGACACATTCCCCCCACATTATCAGTGGGGGTGACACACACACCCCACTAACAGTAGGAGTGACACCCCCCCACTATCAGTGGCGCACACACACACACACGGGATGGAGAGACCCTGCACGCTGCCCTGCACAGACTGCCCCCGGATGCCCTCCACCCGGCACCATGGCACCATTACGCACACAGAGCCCTGGCACAACAGCCCCGGGGTGTCGGCCGAGTGTTTCACAGCTGACGCCCCCCAGCTCTACGCCTTGCCCCGCAGGGTACCTGGGCCAGGCCTCTCGACCTGGGTGGTTTCGACCTGGAAGGGTGTGGGCAGTGGGGTCCCACAGGGTTCAGACCCTGGACCGATATTCTTCAATGTCTTCATCAGTGACTTGGACGAGGGAGTGAAGTGTACTCTGTCCAAGTTTGCAGATGACACAAAGCTATGGGGAGAAGTGGACACGCCGGAGGGCAGGGAACAGCTACAAGCAGACCTGGACAGGTTGGACACGTGGGCAGAAAACAAGAGAATGCAGTTCAACAAGGAGAAATGCAAAGTGCTGCACCTAGGGAGGAGAAATGTCCAGCACACTTACTGCCTAGGGAATGACCTGCTGGGTGGCACGGAAGTGGAGAGGGATCTGGGAGTCCTAGCGGACTCCAAGATGAACATGAGCCGGCAGTGTGACGAAGCCATCAGAAAAGCCAATGGCACTTTATCGTGCATCAGCAGATGCATGACGAATAGGTCCAAGGAGGTGATACTTCCCCTCTATCGGGCGCTGGTCAGACCGCAGTTGGAGTACTGCGTGCAATTCTGGGCACCACACTTCAAGAGGGATGCGGATAACCTGGAGAGGGTCCAGAGAAGGGCCACTCGTATGGTTAAAGGCTTTCCAACCAAGCCCTACGAGGAGAGACTAGAGAACCTGGACCTTTTCAGCCTCCGCAAGAGAAGGTTGAGAGGCATCCTGGTGGCTGCCTATAAGTTCATCACAGGGGCACAGAAGGGAATT